CCCCATCTATCAAACCACAGATAAAATCGCCCCAAGTCGTCGATTAAATGCTGTAGTGTTCGGCAGAAAATGGGTTTGCCGCTTCAAGGGTGTTCGTACAGGCAACCTAATGCTTGAGACCCGCTCCTCTACATACCTTCAGTATGTGATAATACACCTTGAAGCTTTTATAGCTAAACTGTCTCACTCAAGATACTGCGCACCGTCTGTGAAGAGGATCCCCACGGCCTCACCTACACCATTAGACTCCCCAACAATCCCTCTTAACCACCGGAAATGGGCCATAACATGCCCGTACGAATACTTTACAGCGCACACCGATCCTCGTGGCCTTACGATGATTTCAACAACACATATTCACGGGATTCCACCGTCCAGGCCCGGGATCTGTCATGCTTGATTCCGAAACGCGTTCTGTTTCAAAACGGGTTATCAAAGGAAACAGAGCTCACGTGGAGAATCCTACCTTGTAAATTATTAGGGACAGATAAAGAGAAATGCCATCCCTCCCCGCATGTGTAGAGTTAGTGTAAGTGCCTGGTTTGAGTCCAACTGAGCCGGTGAAACATCGACACTCGTTATGGAGACCTTTTAGTTGGGTTTCAAACGTTACATTAGTATAGGGGCATCCATCTGTTTCGTTTTGTTGTCATCATTTTCCAAACGGTTTTTACTGTTCCATGACCGTGTTGTAGAGTGGTGTGTGATCTTTAGAGCACAGAGCTGGTGTTCTGTCTCGCCAGCCTTACCCGGCCATTACCTAGTCAAGACATATGTCCAAAAGTTGGCAGGAAAAGCCTGCTTTAGGGCACTTAAAGTCGTATCTACTTCACGCAGGAAACTTTACTGCACTACTGTAACTATACACTTGTGTAAGACGTAATATTTTCTTATTTTAAACACATTAGAGTACGGCATTTGTTTCACTTTACAAATGGAATCATAAAAGGCAATGGCAGAGAATGATCTATGGCAGAAAAATAGAACCCAAGTGTACTGTCGCTAGCACTATGTTGAGTTGTTAATGGGACACAAAGCACACCATTTGACAAAATCGTGCAAGATTTTTGCCTCGTCAGCCTCATACTTGTATTCTAGCCCGCAGAAATGTCTGTGCTATGGAATTGAAGGCTGCCGTTAGATGGGGCGGTGATTTGACCAAAATGTGTTGTCGCATACGTATATAAGTTTCAAAGGATAAACAAACACAACTTTTACGCGGGAAGGACTGTTTCTTACAGATGGAGTCCGTGCCCTTCACGCTGCCATGGCGCCATTAGGATGTCCCACCTGTGGCACCGTGTGAAATGCCGGGGACGGCACGGCGGGTCTAATGCACAGACCTACACAGGGTCGATACGTCAAGCCCCTGTCACACATAGCTGACAGGACTCCCAAACACTAGCCCATAGTCCAGCCTTCTTAGCTTTGGTTCGCTCCTCAAGATGGGTATTAGGCTGGGTAACGGATCTTTGGGAGCAGACCAAAGCTAACAAGGCTGGACTCCAGGCTACCCAAACATTTCTGAACTCTTCCCAACCATGGTGAGGAGTAGGTCGGGAGCAAGGTTGACCCTCTTTGGCTGCTGTTCGGCGGGTAGCAGATCGTTTCCCCGTCACGTCTTTTCCCCGTCACGTCTCTTTCCCGTCGGTGTGTCAATTTAAGAGGCGAGGTCGGCTACTGTTCTGCTGCTGCGTCAGCCCAAAGTCTCAAAATGTTTAAAACATTCAAATGTGGACGGGAGTTTCAGCCATGTTTGGCTAGTTGTTAGCTGATGTTTGGGAATAGTTTAGCAGTCTTGGGTGAGGGGGGGGGGGTCAAGTGTGACTCAAATTCATTTCGATTCTTAAAAAAAGGTAGGCGTGGCCTAAACCTGGTCAGACTGCTCCTAAACTTCTGCCAAGCTTGGTTGCTTAGTAGTAGTGGGGGGGGGGGTGCTAAGAAGAGCAGGGAGGAAAAAAAAAACACCGACTCAGAAAACTATAAGGACAACAGGCTAACATTTTGAAGCAAAAGGAAAATGCTCACTCCGTGTTTTCTATAATTATGTTTTCGTTAATTTTGTCCACAGAAAAATTGACTTTAGCCCCTAAAACTGAGTTACTAAAAATTAAATATAACATAGTGGAGAACCCTAAATGTTGGAAATAACTATTCTATCAACAACTCGAGCTCTCAGCTTAAGTTACGGCCTTGCAAATTGCACACTTCAAGGTGTATCAATCAAATTGCATTCTTATCATAAGCCTAAAGGACGATTAGGAATTCACAGTAATAATACAATTGTTTCATAAGTACGAGGCAGAAGATGAGTAACGCTAATAACCAACGTTCCCAACCTTAGCAATTTCATATAACAGGCAACATACATCATGGTATCATCAGGCAGCAAATCTATTTACATGGATTAGCGAGGAACCTGTAACATCGGCGTCATCTATAAATCTAATACTGTAAGTCTCTTTAGATTCGCGGGGCCTAAAGTTCGCGGTTTCGGGAAAATGGACAATCCGCGGTATTTTTAGATTCGCGATTTCTCCTTGGCCATTCCAAGAAGAACTTGTAAAGTGAATGTTTAAAATAATAAAAGTTCGTGTTCCGACATTTATCTCCAAAAATGCGGCGCAAAAATTTGTTTCGTGCACCGCGCGAGACTGCCGGTGGTAAAGCTCTATCAATCTGACGCGCGTGTAAACAATTTTCTTTGTTCGGAAATAAGCGCTAAAACGCTATTTTTCAAGACTACACATCGATAATCTAGTGAAGAAATGCATAATCGTAAGCATCTTTCGGGAAAATATATATTCCTAAGCAAATTTATGCCGTTTTCGGCGAGATTTTGAACCCGGAAGTATGCAAAGGTCGCATTCGGTTTTGTAGGCCCACGGTAGCGTTTCTATCCAGCAAAACAAGAAGAAAAAAAATGCCCGCATAGCAGGGCGCAAAAGAGAATCAACTAACATTTTCCAGATACCAGCAGTTCTATTTTTCATCAAAATATTTGTAGATTTGCCCGATGTGCCCGCAATTTTCAAGCGCCCGTGCGCGCATGGCCCGGGCGCTCTGCACGCAAAGATTTTTGTCCGGCGGTGCACGTTTGACACGGCCAGTGCCGCAGTATCGCGATTCGGTGTCTCATAATTTTATCATTTTTGATATCAGTATAACTTAAAAGATTTTGGTACTCAACATACGTACATTTGCTAAGAATAAAGTTGATTTGCAGTGATTTGTAGATCGCGTGTGTTGTTTCAGCGTTTCGCTAACGTCGTGAATCGGCCCTAGCTCGTGAACGCCGTGGGGAGGGGGGCACACTTACGCAAAACATATTCGCGGGGAAATAGATTCGCGGTACAAAGGTCCCCGCGAATTCCGCGAATCTAAATATACCGCGGAAATTTGTAGACTTACAGTAACTTCTCCGTCAAGCAACCTTTAGTATGACAACTGCTATCTTCCATTCAACCGGGATCCACGTAGTTTGGTTTTAAGGACCGTGCAGGGACAAAAACCTGGATATTACCAATATAACAAAGGAGGTATGGTAAATCCGCAGTACGTGTAGAAACTCGCAAAGGACTGGTGTTAGCACCAAGAAGAGCTGACGATGCTAACTTTTTGGGACACACTGCCATTTGAAATAAATTCTCCCGGACTAATTTTTTGGCAGGCGTTTCATCTTACCGACTGTAATTTTGCTATCTCCTGAGCCTCCTGCCAAAAAACCGGGACGTTTCATAATTACCAACTTTAGTAACCGAGACGCCGACATGAGGAGAAAAATCGATCATCTTTCATTCGATGACGAGATGAATGACTCGGGTGCCCCGGTACCATGTCTTCCACACAGCTAATTTCCTAGTTCCGAAATGATGTAAAATTAGATACGCCGTCTGTCTTGCAGGGGTTGACACTGCCATATCTTACAGGAAGAATGTACCTGTACAGAGCCACACTAATCAACCGTGACGCCAGTAACCAATTAAACCCATGCACATCAGAGCAACAGACAAGACAAGATAAGGGCGCTCTTCCATCACAACCTTTGTATCATCTTAAGACCCATATATCAGACACTGTGCCATCTTAAGACCTAAATATCTGACGCCGTGTCATTTTGAGACCTACATATCAGACGCCATGTCATTTTGAGACCTACATTGCAGACACATAAAGCCTCAGATATTGCTGATCATATCTTATGGACATCACTGTTGCCTACATCAAAATATAGGTCAGGGGAATTCCCTTACACATTGATAAAAACGTTTATGTGGAACGACGAAGGAACGTCAGTATGAAAGTAAAGTTTTGCAAGACATTAAGAACTATCTTGTCATTATGAGTAGTTTGAAAGAAAATGAAAACACGTTTCGATTTATTGTAAGATATTATGAAAGGTGAATGTCATGCATTATAATTCTGTTTGATAATATAATCGTAATATTCGGCTATAATTTCATAAAATCTACAATGTAACACATGTAAGATGAGAATAGGCAACCATTCGTTAAACATGCTATCTAATTTTTTTCTAATTTGGTTTCTAATGTATATTAGGTAACGACTGTATACAATATTAGTATTGAAATAAACTATGATATTATATGTATATTACGTATATTGAATCTGCAATACAGCATAAATTGTTAAGGCATACGAATAGTGTGATAACTGAACAATATTACAATTTTTTCATATGAAAGGGTAACGTAAACATTAAAAATAAACTCAAATTACAATCTAGCTGCTTTTTAGTCTATGATACATTCCTCATGCCCCTTATCGCCTAACATACATTGTAACATAACAACATACGTGGGCAGTACAACTTCTCATACCCCTCTATTCATTATGTTTTCTATCACATGCCGCGATGCTACCAGAAAGTGAAATATAGGCTACCTGCTTGTCCGAGTGTCTGTGTCCGTAAAAGAACAAGGTCACAAACAACGAGATTTTTAACGGCAAATAGAAATGTACCCGTAGGGTGGTCTTACCTGGTTGAAGGACCTCCGTCCAGAGCAGGAGAATCCAGACTATTGCTCTGGGTAAGGCAACCATTTCGCCGCTTGTGTGTCTGGTACCAGAGAGGTCTGTGCTTCACTTAGCGATCGCGCCCAACGATTTCGAGTTTACCTGGCAGTGCGGAACATTCCATTTCGTATAGACGGGGGTGGGTTTAATCCTCATTCTTAAGTCTTAGATACATTGAATGGAATAAGGCAACAAACGCACGTTACAAATTCGCAGTACTTTTGAGATTCAAATGAAAATTTGCGAAGTCATGGAAAGAATTTTACGCCATATCGCTGTGCAGCGTTCTCTCCTTGGTGCTGATCGTGGAGTGGTTCTTACTAAATGCCATCCAGCACAGATGTCTCCTGCGAGCTTGCCAGGGCCCATTCGGTCAGACGGAAAACAACACCGTCTCCGTACATTAGGCCCTGACTAGCAAGTACATCAGTAGGATTACACGGTCTTGAGCCACGACTAGTTTGCACCCACTCATCTATCCCCAGGCAGGGCCTCCAATTTTCTCCCAATTTATAAGATTTTGGTTTTTAGATTTCAACAGGGAGTACGTTTTAAGTTTCTAGGCGCCTAAGGTTATATCATTACAGTCTTCCATAGTTAGATAATATGAATAATATGGAGATCTAGTTTTATGAATAAAACAGGCAAAGACGAACCATAGCGATGCCACAGCTGTTGCTTCACAGAAGGAAATGGGAATTCAGTAGCACCATGCATTTGATCTTACTTGGAATAGCCGTAGACAGCCTTTAGAGCCAAGAGCCACGGCCACAATGGGACCATTGGTTTGGACAACATCTGCCGACACCTTGCAGAGAAAAGCTAGCATAGAAAACAGCTAAATAGGGGGAAGTATCAGAATGTTTTCACACGAATATAAAGCATTGGGTACACATCACAGGATGTCAAAAATAGTGGTGTGTTAGTAATAGCAGGCCTGCCATTCAAAATATCCGTACTTTTATGTAGCGTCTATAGGCACATTGAGACCGCTGATATATTAGGATTTACCACTTGGATGGCATATTTTTCTTCTTTATTTTCTTTGTGGCAAGTCAGTGGTGATTGTAGAGTTCGGTGAAAGATGCTGACGCTGGTGGGCCCAGACAGAGATAGCCAAAAGAACAGATTTTAGGAATAAAACGCATGAGATGAACCACGACGAATTCGTATTACATCGACTGCAAACTGTTGAGGCCTCGTATATATTATCACAACCCAACACAAAGTGGGATAAGCTAACAAATAGGGGTATTTCAGCCGGCTTAACCCCATAGCATGGCCGACGAGTAGCATTTCCGGAGCGTACAAAGGAAAGCCTACATCGCGGCATGTGTTGGGCAGATAAGGTATCATGCTATGTACACCAACAGATGTGTTTACATACATGGCTCAGTAGTGGACGATAAAAATAGAAAACGATTCGGCAGTGCAAGAGCAAAGGTTGGCTGTTAAAAAAATTAAGAGATGAGCTTCTAGCAAGTTTAAGCAATATATATTAGATTGATAACCATAGATACATTTTTTTAAACCCGACGATATCCAAAGATTTTTCCTGCGTTTGTATTAAAAGTCACTCCAGTATATTTGATGAAATGGTAAGTTAATATGACGGCATCGTAAGATGTAATGCAAATAAAATATGTATGTATCTGAGAAGTAAAAAAAAAATGCATTTTGGTAAATACATACAAAAAGATTAATCTAATGCTTCAATAATATCTAATGCCTCAAATCACACTAGATTTTAGAATGCTGAGTTATTAATACTCTTGTAAAACGAAACATCCCCCTGTGCATAATTGACACAGCAGTGCGCGTCACTCGGTGTAAATACCCGGCTCCAGGTGATATTTTACGAGTGATGTACGCACGCTTGTATCCTCGGGGCCAATGATTACAGGGTGGGGAGGGGGTAATCTGGCGGAATTTGCCGCGTACATCTCTGGAGGCGCCCGGCTCAGATGTTCCACCGACATGAAAGAGTGCTGATAATCAACCGTGATTAACAAGAAGTGTCGCGTGAATCGTGATTTACGCCTAGCGCCAGCTGTTATTTCCAGTCTTACTCCTTGCTTTGGTGTCTTTAGGTTTCTTCCTATTGGCAATTTGCCTGCACCTTTGATGTATTTATTGCTATGGAAATATGTGATGTATTTTGAGCAGCGAATCTCTCAGTTCTCAGTGGGGTGGATAAACCAAAAATCAGGACAATAAAAGATTCATGAAATAGAAAATTAAATGCCATATTACTGCCTAATCGGATCTAGTATATGAATTCCCTAATCCTCGCCCAGCGGATTATTTCCCTGTTTTGCTAATCTAGCATGAAATCACCCGGGCTATTTCATTATGGGTATCTCGTAGAGACATGAAGCTTTTCGTAACTGGTAGGTGGCTTTGAGATAACGATGTGGAATAGATACACAAGAAAGGTTCTAATCAATTTGTTGAAGCTGGCAAATTAGAATATCAATTTACAAGGCAGGGATCCACATGTAAGGCATCTGTCTGCGTTTGTAGTTACAGTGGAATTATTGTGATAGAATGGTTGTAGTTTCCTAGTATCTAAACGTCAAACCATGGTATCATACAATAGTCAAATGCAGGCTTAGTTTTTTTTGTGTGTGTTCCATGTCCTATTTGTGTATCTTTATGCATGTAATTGCCTCGTGTTTCTTCTTGTTTTCAATATGTATAGTTGACGAAATGAGTACTTTGTGATTCTGCTGTGTTGATTGATTTTAATAAATTTAAAATTGAAGTTTAAATGAGCCCACGGAATAAAATGTAGTTAGGTCAGACTGTAATCAAAATGTAATTAGCTTCTGATGACACTGATTTTTGGACATGAACAGTGAACACTAAAGCTCACAAACTGTTTTTAGGTGTAAAACCTAAAAATATGGTTTGTTTTGCCTATTACCCTTAAAGAACATGTGATGAGCAATTTTTGAATATGCATTTAATACTCCGTGGATGCATCTGCACATCATATAAATAGAAATTTAAGAACCATTAACCCTCAACAGTACACCTTCCCGGACTGATTAATCTGTACACCTGGGGTCCGCGCGGACCCCAGAACAGTTTTTTGCTAATTTTTAGAAATTATCAACATGCTACCAGCTCAATTGTTTTGCAAACTGATGTGGGAACCTCTGTGTCCACATTACATACAAAAATCATACATTTTTAACTTTTTCTATTTTTTGGTGAAGAAAAGAAGACAAGAAGAAATACCCGATTTTTAAACCCATTTCAGACTGAAGGGGCTTTTGAGGCCCAACTTTGATCTCAGATAGCGGCTAAACGGCTTGCGCTAGAAGTATCAAATTTGGAGACCTTTCCTAAAATGTCTCTGGAAAAAAGTACATATTAGTTTAATACTAGAAAGTTGATGTTTTTTTGTGTTGCCATGGCAACGGGTCTCTAGCCGGCAGTTTTTTTGAAAATAGAAGTAATTTTGGTTTAAACATAAAAATTTTCTGAGTTTTATATTAAATTACACTTCTTTTCCAACATTAATAACATCTTACATAATTAAATATAAGTTAAATCATTTAATATGCATAGAATATGCTAATTTGATGACGTCATTGGTCAAAATCCAATATGGCGGACTATATTATTAGCTCTGACGTCATATGACGTCATAATTACACCAAAGTTATTAAAATTTAATTCTATTACTACACTATTCTCTGAAAACTTGGTAGACATACGATGAGTGCATAAAAACATATAAAAACGGAAATAAGGTAATGTATAAGAACGCCAGTGTATCCATTATGATCGAAAGCCGGCTGGGGTCCGCGCGGACCCCAAAAGAAAATCAGATATAATTTTTTTATAAATGGTAGAAACGGAGTTTTCTGCACTGTATTGAGAGACAACTTTGTGGGTAACAATTACTTAAAATTTCAGAAAAAATCTTTAGAAACAAAAAAAATATTACAGAATATATAGTGCTGGGGTCCGCGCGGACCCCAGGTGTACTGTTTAGGGTTAATGGATATTCCAAACATACGTCTTACGCTATTATAATACAAATAAGCCATTGCCTTTGGTAATATTAGCAAACTGATCAAAAGAAATTGCATGCAATAGAATTAGACGGAAACATTTGTATTAAATATCGAGATATACAACTGACGTAAGGCATATTAAGCTCTTCACGAATAGATCTTCAAGGAATGCCCTGTGGACAATACGAACTAAATTAGACGTCATCAATCACGAAGAAAGCAATTCTCTTTCATAATTGTACATTCCATCCTACCATGCAACATACCATTTATCAGATTTCATTTCAACCATCATATGGTATAGAAGGCAAAGACGTTAAGCGTCTTTAGAACTTTTCTTATCTATTTATCCACCGAATTAAAGATCTGTAAGATGTATTTAATTTTGAAATTTAACGTTCCTCCCTGAACCTATGTATATATTGTACATAGAGAGGTGACTATTACTGTTTCTGTAGCCCCTGGGCCATACAGTCGTGAAATCACTAAAGAATGGGACATATTTTGTCCAGAAACGTACCTATCTAGTTCTATGCCTCGATGGGTTAGGTTTAGGATTAGGCATGCTTCGGGATAGTCTCCGTGTAACCGAGACAGTAGATTTGCCCAGGCACGGTCCTGGATTTGCGTGGACTATCCAGAAGTGTACCCAAGCATGCTTCTGGATAAAGCAGGGCTAGTCAACTTGTAGATTTCTTGTAACACAAATACTGAGCGTCAGGCAGAGAAGGCAATGCGTTCCATTTTTAAAGTCCGTAGTATGGCTCAAAACCTACCGAATGCAAGGCGAACACTACCCTCTTGGTCATTGCACCTGTTACGTATATAACTTATATAAACTGACAAGGACATGTTCCCTCTGGTGGTCTATGGTATCATGTTTTCTTCGGCACTTATGTAAACTAGCTGCAAATTGGTTTGACAGCTTTTGCAGCTATGACCTTAAGTGCCTGCTTCATCTCAGCACCCCTACCACTCAGGAGGCTCTTAGCTAGGGCAGTGATCTTTACTTAGGAGAGAACGAACATTAGGCAGGTAGGTCAGGTAAGGATAATGAAATGATGAGCAGCTCGGCAGGGCTGTAGGACTCGGGTGGTGCGAAGACTTGCTACCCAAGAAACGTGACAAGAATATTGACGACAGTCTCTAGTTTAAGAAGCAGAATACGTTTTGTCTTAATATTTCTATTCAATTATGAAGACACCTGGGTATCTCCAACAGCTTCATTAGCCGATTTCCAAGTAGGCCTATAAAAAGAACACAATGGCATTAATACTGTGTGTAAAATTGTATGAAAAAAGTTATATAATGAACACGTAGCAAAACGTTTGTGAAATGTAGACAGACATTACTCCGAACATGTGAGGACAAATAATGCAACATAATATAAACTAACAAAACTATCAAATTACGAAACCAAATATTAAATTCAGACTGAGTGGTTTAGAGGGTTAGCGATGTCGATGAAGAGTGTAGACAATTTGGATGCTTTTACATTGTGTAAAATACTAGTATAGAATATCTAGCGTTTTTATTAGGGTATGCTAGAAACCGCATATAGCAAAAATAATGTTTGCCTGATGCTACATCAGAGTTTTGAGATGGTGCTGAGTATCTCGGGGATAGACAGAGGTTAAAGCACACTGAGATCCTTGTTAGCAGTATGCTGCCGGTTTGTCCAAAGATACCACACATCTCATTGGAAATTCAAATTCTACTACTGGATAAATTGCGGAGAATAATGTCCAGACGCTTCGGGTGGCATCCACTACTCCTCTTCAGCGTCACTAATGAACTAATGCAGATATAGGAGAAACTGGAAAAAGCTATATGCTCATATAGTAATTGATATGTAAGAGATAAGGTAGTTTCTCTGGTAAGGTTTCTCCGTAATTTATTCAGTAATAGAGTTTGTATTTCCTATGAGTATTGTTCACCTGGATGTCTAACCGTCATCAACATATCACACATATGTTCTGTATACAAACATAGTCCAAGAACAAGAATTTATGGCAATAACACACGATGGAGGCAATGGAGGTATTCATTGTGAGCCTAGTATGAAGATATTTGCAGTCGTAACAATCACCTTGGGCAGGTACTAACACTAAAACTACTCCCGAGCAGCACTCATGCTCTCCGGCTGTCTAATGGGAATGCACCGAAGGTTAATTGGATTTCCAGACGTCGAGACCGTGGTAATAGACTACCCTGCGATTTTATGCGTCCGCGGGAGGGTCATTTCGAAACACTATGGGCAGAAGTGGACATCAGGAATATGCAAATATGTACAGTCTATTTCAGGACACCAATGTGTTTCTATAAGATAGAGGTTGTGTTATTGGCATTGGCAAGTTAAGGTGGAATAGATAATGCCCAATAAAAAAGGATAAAGATAAGGATTTATATGAAGATGATAGCAAACACTGTTTAAGATGAACATGAAGGTACATCAAAGGGGTGTGTTTGGAGTAATGTTTGTCCGTTTTTTTATGCCAATCAAAAGTTTTTAAACAGGGATAAAATATTACTGTTATCAAGTAAAGAAGGGAAAAAAACTACGATTTTTGTGTAAAAGTAACAAAATGTTAGGTGCAGTGACAGCTGTATGTTGGAAGGGGGCGCCAATGATCAACATCTAATATTACAGGTACTTTTATTCATTGTTCAACTGCCTAAAAAACTACTCAACAAGATGCTTAATTGTTTCTGGCGCCAACGATAAAATGACATATTATTACTGGTAATAACGTTAACTTAAAAAAAATAAAATGTTTTATGCATCAAAATATGTATATTAAATCGTTTTCTGCTAGGATTAGGATCATCATAAACTTATCTATTTAGAAGAGTGTCTCATTTAATGGTGATAATGGTCTAGTAAATCTAATCCCGCTAGCTGGACACGTTTGGTATCTAGCTAAGGCAGATAACCAATACTAGTAGCTAAGGACTGCAGTTAGAGTCACAACCGCACGAGGCCTCACAGCACTGCATTTTAGACCTTCACCGATAACTGCCAATTTAACCGTGTATGTCGACTATATTACGTCACGTTACGTCAATTAGGTTCAGTGGATTTTGATTACTTTTGTGACTTATCTTATTTCATCACAAAGGAATATTTTACCTATTTAGTTATCCTAAAACAATATATCACTCAAACTACAAAATTTGGAGGTTTAATGTGTTTTGTAAACAGCCTATGAAATAATGAATTATCTCCTAATAGTGGCTTTTTTACCTCTAGATAAGGATAAGTATAGAAAATCCTCGAGTAGACAAATTTGCATCCCTTTGCAAGTTCATGATCTCATTGTCCCTGGAAGTTGTGCACCAAATCATTACTAACTGGCCTAGGCCATGCATTATGGATGACATAATGTAATTAGAACACATTACTTGGATTCCTCCAGCCGAAATAATGTGTTCAGCTCTCCCCGAGGGCCATAGAAGGCTTTCATTTAGGGCCTGGGTCTATGGGTGTGCGCGCACTGATACACAATGAATCAGACTGTGAAAAGCCAGACGAGACGCATTCATGCCTTTTTGCTTCTCGGAATACCATATTCATACGCCCAGAGACGATTCAGTTTTCCCCATATGGTGTTTTTGTCAGTCGCGGCATCTGGACTGATCTGGACGTCGACGCACCATTTTGCCACAAAGTTGCTGGACGTAAAAATAGACAAGATGTTTAGTTATTTGAACGTCTGTATGCTTTCTGTAGCCGGACTATTCACCCTTCTTCCTCCAGGTACGTGCTTCTAATCAATATTTTCATTACAGGGAGAACAGTCGCATGATATTGTCTGTCTGTGGGAGGGCAACGTTCTGTTGGCATTTAGTCTCTGTTTTCTTTAGACCAACATAATTTTGGCAAGAAATTGAATTGATCTCTTTCATAAAAATGCAGCAGAACGTTCTTTAATTTCTAAAGATCTGCTGCGTTGCAATTAAGCTCTCCTATCGCTTTGCATAATTGTGATACCTAGATATGGCATAACCGGTCAGGGACTGTAGAGGGCGTCCTTACCACAACGGCGACGTTCTTGTTGACGCCAAAGGCATACTTTCGTAGGATCAGAAATACTTTATGATTATAAGATGTGGGTTAAATAATTATAAACTGTCATTAATTATTGTGCACATAACACTGGCTATGTCACTATTGTTGAAAATGCAAATTAAATGGTAATATTTTTTAAGATAATATATAACCTAATGACTGTCAACCAAAGTCATTGCTGTTCATCGTATATTTAAGTTTTTTATTAACTTTACTTACTTATTATAATTTGCTGATATTTATATATCAGCTACATTACAAATGTTAAAGATCATTTCATTAACACATGATTACATGCCCAAGGCACATTGCAGACTGATGTTTTCTTTATTAAAATAGTAGAAGCACTAGCGCACAAATGATACAATCTCTGCTCTTAAAATGACCATTACCTATTGACTATAGCCTAAAATGCTAAATATCTAATTTGTGGATTTATTTAAATCTCAATATCATTTAAATCTCTTGATATAAGAAATAATGTTTCATTTTCTACCACCGACCATGTTAAACTCGATGCAGTCTTATCTGTGAACTTAGTCATTGGCCATGATATATTCAGGACGAAAATTGGCGTGACGGTAACATGGAACAGGTTACTGAGCATGAAAAAGACCCAGTCAGTGGGTATGTTACTAAGAGCTATTACGGGACCTCTGTTATCACCCCTGTTACAGACCGATCCATTATAAGATATACAGCAACACTGTACGATTATCATCATTCAGCTCATCTACAAGGACTACCGGTCTGCAATTGACCTTACCGTTACTGTAATCAAAACAGACCGGTCTTAATAACGCCATTAGTATTCCTTTTAGGCGTTAAGACGTTGAAGTACTGAGTTTTAACGGGTCGGCGTATATTTCTAGTAGTGGATGTCTTCTTATACATGACTTAAATTTTAACATGTACTTTTAATAGAAGTGTTATTTGTGGCGACCAGGAATGTTTAACATCACAAACGATGAAAACATGTTCCTATCAGACCACACACATAGCTTATCAAGAAGCAGCTGTTGTGCGATAATACTACAAGCTGATAAACCTCCTCATTCGTCTAATCAAACTATATGGACATAGGCCGCGATTGGTCTTTCAACTTGGAGACACATTTTATCTCCCAAAATATAGGCTTGTATATATATATAACTGTGTACTGATAGGAAGATGGGTTTGTTATTTTCATGCCAATTCCTTTGTGGTCGATATTATATTTCTTCAGCGTCATACTAAGTACTCGATCGGAACCTATCTGCGGGTGTACATAAAAACATATCAAGCCTTCGGTCTCTCCATATATCCCTGAAAAGATGTGACTTCTACAACTAAAAATAGCTAACAGTTAAGAGCAAAAAAATAAAATTTATAGCGTATTCAGCTTAATTTAATTAAGTCAAGTAGGAAAATCCAGTTTTTATATTAGCTGGTTAAACAAAGGTTAATCCAATCTAATCATCTCATTTGCATGCTTTGAAGGCTAGACGTAAATTTGGATTATAGAAAATGATTTAGATTCATGGTTCTCTAAAAAGAATGGCAGGTTTCAAACGAGACACACAAAATATTTTCATATGCCCTTCTTCAAAGGCAAATACCAGTAGACGGTATATTTGATATTTATTAAAGCTGTCATGCCATCTGCTGGCGTCAAAGCCTCTCAAGTAGCCGAAACAGCATTATTGCTAGATTTAACCTTGAGCTAGATAGATACAGATGCTGATGCAAACGATCGAGTCTTTCACCGTGTCCACAGACGGTTTGCTTCTAAAGTGTAGCAATTGAGACGTAAACGACGAAGATCGTACATTCTGATCGACACTCTGATAAGGTTATGATAGTAATATGCTATCTAATTGGTCTTGTATCAATGACATTTACAGGGTAGCTACTATTACTGTTGCCTTTTCTTCTGTAAATGCTATTAATTACAATGGTGAATCTATGTATTGCATCTTGGGACCTGATTTTGTTATATCTTTTGTATTATATGTAGTTGTATCATTGCCAAATTTATATAAGCTTTAATTCAAACGATCGATGTGCAAGATAACACCAAACCCCGTATTTGTATTACAGCTGGCGGTGTCAGCTACAATGCAGTTCCATTGCCTACCGCTGTCCTACTGGGCCATACAGCTACACTTCACTGTAGCTTCAACGACTTGTCAACACATGATGTAGTTAGCTGGGCCAGGTCACCTGGACTAGTCATAACATCTGGTCGGAGAGTGGACCCTAATTATTCACGCTACCAGGTCACTGTATATGTAAAAAGATAGTTCAGAACGTGAAAACACAGCAGTAACAATAGCATCATGGTCGCCAGCTATTAATATGATTGAAATGTGATGTGTAATGAATCTAAAATCAATATGTTAACTCAATTTTCGTCTTAGATAGTTCGCGACAAAAAACATTTGACATCCTCTTCAGGTCGTTGGGGAGGAGCAGAAGGGTGAGTTCCATTTGCGAATTGAAGACGCTAGCCTGGAAGACGAGGGTACTTACAGATGCAACATCTTCGGTCTTTCGCCTAAAGAAGCAAAATTGACTGTAGTGGGTAAGATACATTCCATGGTGTAATGAAGTTTGTTTTTCGGTGGTATTTCATCAATCTGTATGTTTAATGAACTTCGCAGTAGAAATAATTAATCAGAATGTATTTTAGTCCCTGTTCCACAGCCTCCTACACTGAGAGGTGCAGAGGTACCAGGTAAAGCGGGGCAGCAGCTGGAGCTAAGCTGTACCTCGTCAGGAGGCCACCCGCCCCCTCAGCTCACCTGGTACAACGGGACGGAGGCATTTACAGGGCGTCACGTGAACCAGCAAGAACGCGGAGGTCGAGTAGAGCTAGATCTTATCCTACGGCGTCTGACCAAATGGGATAACGGTATGAACCTGACATGCAGAGCAAGCCAGCCGTTTCCGGAGATCACTTTATCTAGGGATTCTTGGACTGTATTGCAGGTTCACTGTAAGTAATACGTTAAAGACCATGCCTTAAACGAATTTATTTGCACTTATAATTAAGCAAAAAGATGATATGGATACATAAACTGTTACTAATATTTCATGTTATTTCTTCGTTCTTAGATCCTCCTAGTGTCTCTGTTACCACTCCATCAGTACGTGTGGTTGAGGGAGTCACAGCAGAACTAACCTGTCTGGTAGAGAGCAATCCTCCTGCCACCATCAGCTGGACAAGACCCAGTCGACCTACATCACTTATCGGCAATACCGAGTAATACTTTATCGGATGTTTACTTTTATTATTAGTTAAAAACAAACAATGTATCAAGGATTGGAGTTCCTCCTAGTTATTTGACCTATTAAATACATAATCTCATGTGAATTGTTTTTTTTTCTTTATCTTGATTCCCAGGCAGAATATATTCCGGATTCCCAGAACGTCCCGCCAAGATGCAGGGATTTACCAATGCACGGCAGACAACGGTTTACAACCTGTAGCTGTAGGGACAGTGACTCTAGAGGTTATGTGTAAGTGTAACATACTTGTAGCATTTTGATATCGAAACGAAAATTACACTTGAAAGGTTAGCGATGATGACAGCAATAGTCTGTTAGGTTCTGTACATCAGTAATCTAGCTACTAGGTAGGACTTGTATTCCTTTAAAACGTACAGATGATACAGGGTAAACATTTAGATTGCTGGTACCCTATACCGTTCATTTAGTGTTAATGTTTGCCTCCAAACAGACCCACCGTTCATCAATCCCTCCATGGACGACAAAGTTACCGCTCTACATGATGATGATGACTTTTCACTGAACTGTCTCGTGGAGGGAAATCCGAAACCAAAAGTAACGTGGCGGCGGAAGGGTACTAAGCTGTACTGGAAAAACCCACTCCGGTTCAACAGGGTGCGCTACGACGTGGAGGGAACGTATCAATGCGTAGGAACAAGCGATGGATTTCGTCAACAGACAAAGGATGTTTTCGTCGATGTTGTGGGTTTGTCACTTCGCTATTTATTATACATAACATTGACATACAGATTGCCATGGCAAATACACACTGAACGCAGCAACGTGTAAAATAGCTTGTCGCAAATGCTTGAGAATAGTGCAGCTTCCAAGATTGCTTAGATATGCAACATTCTTATTTTTAAAGGAAAACCCTACATGGAGGGAGAAAGCGACACGGCAATGCTATCTGCAGATTCTGGAGAAACAGTCCGTATTGGTTGTAAAGTAGCAGCCGACCCATTGCCATCTCGCATCAATTGGATATGGCGTAATAACTATGGACTGGAGACAGAGTTAGATAATTCTGATTTTCGTATCGTCACGACCAGAAGAAATCAGGAAATGACGTCGTCACTGAATATACCGAATGTGGCTGTGAAGGATAGTGGAAGCTACATCTGCGAGACAACTAACATGTTTGGTTCTGCCAAGCGAGACATGCACTTGGAGGTTAAAGGTAGTAAAATGTTGTCTTATTTAAATTTTCTTTTACATTTAACATTTACATTGGCGTTGTAACAAATCTATAGGAGATATAAGAAGATAAGACAAGAATGTACAACCGTATTCATATTATATTTGCACTTTTGCTCGACAGACTCAACCCCTAATCTTGTCATCATAACTTCTATCGCTGCTGGAGTGGTTCTAGTGGCGACAGTTGCTGTCATTCTCATAGTCATCGCGAAGAAAAAAGGCTGGATATGCAAGCACCAACTTGATGGTATATTTATTTTTTTTAGCTTTCATGTTTGGATTAATTACCAAATGTCAAAGAAATCTAAATCATCTGTGATTTACATAACTTTACGATATTGACAAACAAGTGTGTGCTATATATATAGTCTTACAAATTCATTCTTTGTCAGACTCGTTTGACCTGTCAGCCCCCCGCCCGATGCCCCCTGTACCGAAGTACGTGTACAAAACCGGCACCATTGACTCCGGTGTGGAGGACCTACAGGAGCTACAGGAGATGTACGGTACTCTCAAACCACGTCCTCCGCCACGGATTGAGAAGAAGTGGGAGGCGGTCGGGCTTTCCTACTCAGGTAAATAAAATTACTGTTTTCGTATCTTCATACGATGATGTGCTTATGTACTTTTTTGAACACTTGACTTGCTTTCAGTCACACATTTTCAATCCAAACTAATCTTTACCAACACAATGCAGGACTAGTCCACTCTACGTCCCTCCCACCCTATTCCACTGAAGAGGAGTAGCACGGATGTCACTATGTTGACATTAATAATGCACACAGTAATTAACAGGTGGGAGTTTTACAAACATTGGTTAATTGACTCGACAAACCTTGCTTACAATATAATCGGTTTACCGGTAGTTAGCTAAGGATAAAGATGGTTATGATGATTATTTGAAATAATGATAGTTTACCATTTTAGTGATAATCACCAGGTGATGTGATAATGATGATGATGAGTTATATCAAATGTTATCCGTGGCCAGCATACCTGCTATATTTGATATTGTAATGCCATATATTTTCTATATATTTTCTAGGTCGCCGCAGTTGTTTATACTCTTGCGAAATTGGCGTGCCTGTATACGTGTGCTATTAATTTGGGGGTTCACCAACATTTGTTGGAAAGGTAACAGAAGTGGTGTAAACTTTTAGGGTAGGAGTAATATCTCGTATCGAATTGAATTCTAACTATAGATTATGATTAGGGAGCTAGATGTGTACCAAATATTGATGGGACCTGTACGTTGGTGTACATGTGCACGCTCATTTCTGAAATGTTTGTATTTGTAACACCCTTTACCAATTTACGATCTACTCGTATACGCTAACGTATTAATACACACGATGAGTGTTTAACCTGATGTAAATTTTAGAGATAATAATAAAAATAAAGTTATGTGATACCGATGTTCTTAGACATAAAATACATTGAGCGACCTATAGCTATGTGCTCTTTGGGTATTTACTCATTATACTGCATGTCCGGACATATACTGGGTACTGGCAGATTTCCTAAACTATGTGTGTTTCATGTAATTAAATGTAAGTAATTTATATGTAACAGAAATAAAATTAACGTAACTGATCACTGTGTACCTTCTTGAGTCCTGGTACAATTGCCATTATTAATGACTTAACACGATTACAGTTACCATGACTAATAATATATGCAATGTATCAATAAAATAGTTCATCGCAGATAGCGTATTGCGAAAAAAATCAATCGGAAAGTACGGTTTGCCAAAGTAGACGTTAAATTTCTTCGTCTAAGATCATAATTGATGCAGTTAACAGTGGACCGCATGAAGTCGCAGACCATTAAAACGCAAGACGTCGCAGACAAATCAACTCGATAAAACATATCACTAATTCATCGTTATTTCTCGACGCCAACAAATTCTTCTTCCTTTCAATTTAGCTTACAGTGATAACATATTTATATTGTATGGATACAGGTCATGAATAAAGGACAGGAGTTACTACTATACAATACCACGCTTTACCCATGCTGCAGTACAAGATGTGATCGCAAGTGGCCTCACTGACAGTAACGTTCAAATATCGACAACTAACCGTAAATGAACAATTTAATTTCAAAGAAGCCAACTTAATTGTTACTCATAACAATTACAGTCCTTCTACTGCTTGCATCTACCAAAAATTGCTGAATGATCTACAAGCAAAAACTCATTTCACATTGTTTGCACATAAGAGAAACCTTCAGCAATCGTTTCTTTTTCATGAAATAAGGTGACAGGTTATCGGTGATTTCATGCATCTAAGCAACATTAATTGCCTGTCTATATCGGTAAAAATAACAATTGTTTTCTCAGATACACATGTATGAAGCCTTCTGCAAGTTCATGATCTCCTTGTCCCTGGAAGTTGTGCACCAAATCATTACTAACTGGCTTACGCCATGCATTATGGATGACATAATGTAATTGGAACACATTACTTGGATTCCTCCAGCCAAACTAATGTGTTCAGCTTTCCCCGAGGGCCGTAGAAGGCTTTCATTTAGGGCCTGGGTCTATGGGTGTGCGCGCACTGATACACACTGAATCAGACTGTGAAATGCCAGACGAGACGCATTCATGCCTTTTTGCTTTTCGGAATACCATATTAATGCGCCCAGAGTCGATTCAGTTTTCCCCATATGGTGTTTTTGTCAGTCGCGGCATCTTGACTGATCTGGGCGTCGAAGCACGATTTTGCCACCAAGCTGCTGGACGTAAAACTAGACAAGATGTTTAGTTATCTGAACGTCTTTATGCTTTCCGTAGCTGGACTATTCACCCTTGTTCATCAAGGTAGGTGCTGCTAATCAATATTTTCATTACAGCTAGATAGAACTGCAGTATAGCATTGTCTTCACAGGGTATTAGTGGGGGAGGGCAACATGTCAGCATATCGTCTTTATATTCTTTAGAAAAAAATAATTTTGGCAACAAATGGATCTCATTGATACAGAATTCAGCATAACGTTGTTTAATTTCTAAAGACTTGCTGTTGTGTTGTAATTCTGAAGACCTATCCCTGATCGAACCCCATGCATGGCTGTTATAACTACATATAGCAAAACCGGTCCGTGACTGTAGAGGGCGTCCTTACCACAACGGTGATGCTCTTGTTGCCGCAATGGCATACTCTCGTAGAATTAGAAACACTAGATGACGATAACATGTTGGTAAAATAATGATAAATTCTCATTAATTATTGTGCATTAGTCACATAGCACTGGCTATGTCACCAGTATTGCTAAATAGGCAATGTTAATATATATATATATATATATATATATATATATATATATATATATATATATATATGTGTGTGTGTGTGTGTGTATATATTTATTCCTTTATTAAATATGCTGTCAGTTAATGACTGTCAACCAAAGTCATTGCTGTTCATAGTATATTTAAAAGTGAAAACAGTGCACGCAGCTTACGGTTAAATAAAATGATACAATTTCTCACCCTCATTATTCAAATTTAACATTACCTATTCACTAAAGCCTAAAAAAACTATATATGTAAGTTATGGATACATGGTTATTAGGTGGATTATTGTTATTACAGGCAAGGTAGGCAGGCAAGGTTATTTATATAAATCTCTTAAAATAGTATCTAAATCTCTTGGTATAAGCAATAATGTTTCACTTATCTCTTTACTATCCACCCTATTAAACTCGATGTAGTCTTGCGTGTAAACTTAGCCATTGGCAATGACACATTCAGGATGAATATTGACGTGACGGTAACATGGAACAGGTCACTGAGCACGAAAGAAACCCGTTCAGTGGGAATGTTACTAAGAGCTATTACGGGACCTCTGTTATTACCCATATTATTGGCCGATCCATTATAGGATATACAGCAACACTGTACGATTATCATTGAGTCGGCCCCTTATAACAATATATCAGCTCATCTACAAGGACCGCCAGTCTGCAATTGACCTCACCGTTACTATAATCAAATGGGACTGGTCTCAATAACGCCATTAGTATTCCTTTTAGGTGTTAAGACGTTGAAGCACGAAGTTAGTTGTCGTATATTTCCAGCAGTGAATGTTTTCTTATACATGATCTAAATTTTAACATGTACTTTTAATATAAAGCACGTACATGCTCAGGTATTATTTGTGACGATCAGGAATGTTAAACATCACACACGATGAAAATATTTTCCTATCAGACCACACACATGGCTTATCAAGAAGCAGCTGTTTTTCTCGATAATACTACACGCTGATAAACCTCCTCATTCGCCTAATCTAACTATATTGACATAGAGTTCGATTGGTCTTTTAACATAGAGACACGTTTTATCTCCCAAAATGTAGGCTTGCATAACTGTCGTATATAATTGGAAGATGTTTTTTTTAATTTAATGCCAATTCTGTTGCGGTCGAAATAACATTTCTTTGGCGTCTTACTAAGTACTCCATCGGAAGCTATCTACGGATATGCATTAAACCATATCAAGCCTTAGGTCACTCTATGTATGCAGGAATTTCGTTATGTAATCTCTGAGGACGAGATTTACACTATAGAAACGATGGCCCCAAAGCACCATCAATCACGCATATTGTAAAAGTGACACCTGTTGAAACAATGCGAGTACTACGACTAAGGAGCAAACCGATAAAGGCATTTATAAAGTATTCAGCTTTAAATTGCATTAAGTGGAGTAGTGAAATGTTGTTTAGTTGTTAAAAAGTCTAATTCAATTTAGACATCTCATGTGCAGGCTTTTCAGGCTAGATGTAAATTTTGAATGCGAAAAATAATTCAAATATTTCGCTCCTTTGAAGAGAAACAGATAATAGTTTTTATATGCCCCTTTTCAGACGCAAATACCAGTAGACGGCATATGTGATGTTTATTGAAAGCGACATGCCATCTGCCGGCGGCAAAGCCTCTCCAGATGCCGAGACGGCAATATTGCCAGATTCAACCTTGAGCTAGATAGATACAGATGCTGCTGCAAACGATCGAGTCTTTCACAGTGCGCACGGACTGATTGCAACAATTGGGACGCAAACGGCAAAGATTATGTGGCCATAAAACTCTAATGGGGTTATCGATAGTAATATGCTATCTAATCGGTCTTGTATTGCTTCCACGAGCCAGAAGGCTACTATGATTGTCGCTTTTTCATGTCTATGACATTACCATAAATCTATGTATTACTCCTTTAGAAAAGTTTTTATTATACACTTTGTACTGTTGAAGTGGGCTACTGCCACGTTTATATAAGTCTTTCAGTAGTTAAGCAATTCTTAGCATGCAAACTTACACTTATCTCGGTGTTTGTATTACAGTTGACGGTGTCAGCTATAATGCAGTACCACTGCACACCGCTGTGCTACTGGGCCATACAGCTACACTGCACTGCAGCTTCAATGACTTGTCAGCAGATGATGTTGTAAGTTGGTTTAGGTATCCCGGAGGAGCAATTGCATACGGCAGAAGAGTGAACCCAACCTACCAACGTTACCAGGTTATTTTCCTTTTAAAATGCTTCACAATGTAATAATGTAATAACACAACAATGGTGAGTGCAAGCTACCATAAAACATGTCAGATCTATTGTTTTAATGAACACCTCATATACGGTTGAAATGAGTAAAGAACGAAGAATTGATAGATATTTTGGCCTTCCCTTAGGTTACAATCTCAGCTCCAGAGATTTGTTTGATATAACCCCTCAGGTTGTTGGTGACGAGAAGAAAGGACAGTTCCATTTACTTATTCAGGATGCTCACCTCGAGGACGGTGGAGCTTACACATGTAGCATCTTCGGTCTTGCATCTAAAGAAGCAAAGTTGACTGTAGTAGGTAAGATACAGTGTGCAGTTTGTACAAGCGATTAAATACAGTGTGTAGTTCTCGGTGGTATTTCATCACAATCTGTATTTTTAATGAAAATGTAACTTCGATGTTGAATTCTGTAATTAATTTGTATTTTAGTCCCTGTCCCACAGCCTCCTACACTCAGAGGTGCAGAGATACCAGGTAAAGCAGGGAAGCAGATGGAGCTAAGTTGTACCTCTTCAGGAGGCCATCCCCCGGCTCAACTCACCTGGTACAATGGAACGGAGGCAGTTACGGGGCAACATGTGATCCAGAAAGAAAGTGAAGGTCGAGTAGAGCTTGATCTTATCCTACGGCGTCTGACCAAATGGGATAACGGTATGAACCTGACCTGCAGAGCGAGCCAACCGTTTCCGGAGATCACTTCAGCTCAGGATTCCTGGACTGTTTTGCAGGTGTACTGTAAGTTTAAGTCTATGCTGTAAACGAATGGATTTGCTATTATATTAAAGCGACAAGACTACACATTACTAAGCATTAAATTGTTTATTACAGCTCTTTCTTTCTTTTTTTCGTTCTTAGATCCTCCAAGTGTCACTGTTCCCGTTCCGTCGGTACGTGTGGTTGAGGGAGTCACAGCGGATCTGACCTGCCTGGTAGAGAGTAATCCACCTGCCACCATCAGATGGACAAGACCCGGTCATTCTGCTTTGCCTAATGACAATATTGGGTAATAAAACGTAGTGACCACGCTAGATATTAGTTTTAAGCAACTAAAGATATTAGTGATCAAAGATACATTGACCTTTTGACCTGTAATGAGGCAACATAGTGAAAACATTAAGCTGAGTGTTACACAAGACCAATAATGCTACATCTTGATATTGTTTCCTAGGCAGAAGATATTCCGGATTCCCAGTACTTCTCACCAAGACGCAGGGGTTTACCAATGTACGGCAGATAACGGCGTTCAACCTGTAGCTGTAGGGACTGTGACTCTAGAGGTTCTGTGTACGTATGTCATATTATTCATTAAAAGATCGTTATAAGAACATGCCTAATGATGTCACATGTTCGATTGCGGTGCACAAAATCACATAGCTTTCAGTCTGATATACGCTACAAAGACCGGATTCAGTACAAACATTTAGCACGCTTGCTCTGTTTTACATTTAACCCTTTTCAAATTCACCAATTTTCAAAATTTGTCACCAAACAGACCCACCTTTGATCAACCCCTCTATGGACGACAAGGTTACTGCACTCCAAGATGATGATGACTTCTCACTTAACTGTCTTGTCGAGGGAAATCCGAAACCCAAAGTAATGTGGCGGCGGAAGAATACAAAGTTGCACTGGAAAAACCCACTCCGGTTCAACCGGGTGCGCTACGACGTGGAGGGGACGTATCAATGCGTAGGAATAAGCGATGGGTTCCCTCAGACGACTAAGGATGTTTTCGTCGATGTTTTAGGTTGGTTTCCTATTATTTCATTCCACAAAAAGCTGACATAGACATAGTTTGCCATTATAGCAAATCAGAATCGCTATAAAAAAAACAAGTGTACTAGCTAGTCGCAACGGAATACAACTCGGATAATCCAGCTTCCAAGCTTACTAATAAATTATGCCAAAAAACAGTTACTCGAGCAACTGGATATGATTTTGAATGGGGATGACCTCCTTGCTTGAGGAACTGTTTTTTGGCATATCGTATTACCTGGATGTCTAACCTTCATCGACTTACTAATAAATTGTCTGAAAATGTAAAAGTTTTAATTTTTCTATTTGTTACAGGAAAACCCTACATGGAGGGCGAAGAAGACACGACAATGCCATCTGCATACACTGGAGAAACTCTTCGGCTAGGTTGCACAGTAGAAGCCGACCCATTGCCACCACGCATCAATTGGATATGGCGAAATAACTATGGGCAGGAGACAGAATTAGATGATGCTGATTTCCGTATCGTCACGACCAGACGAAATCAGGAAATGACGTCGTCACTGACTATACAGAATGTGGCTATGAAGGACAGTGGAAGCTACATCTGCAAGACAACTAACATGTTTGGTTCTGCCAAGCGAGACATGCACTTGGAGGTCAAAGGTCATGAAAATATGTTATAATCATATTTTACACCAACAATACTCACATTTCTGTTACTAGAAGTTTAATGATTCATTCCCTTTATTACCTTTATAAAAAATATAGTAAGTTAAAATAACATGAGCGTATTTTTAAGACATCAATATATATTCACTCTTTTTCGCTTGCTCCACAGAGTCTGCTCCGAACCTTGTCATTATAACTTCTATTACTGCTGGAGGGGTTCTAGTGGTGACCGTCGCTGTCATTCTAGTAGTCATCGCGAAGAAAAAGGGTTGGATATGCAAGTCTCACCTTGACGGTATGATTGCGTTCAAGCTTTTATATTTTGATCTATGGCAAAATATCATAGAAATCTAAGTTGTGTGGGTGTATACTTACGACGTTGACAAACAAGTGTGTGTTGTAATCTTACAAATGCCCTCTTTGTCAGAATCGTTTGACCTGTCAGCCCTTCGTCCGATGCCTCCTGTACCGAAGTACGTGTACAACACTGGCACCATTGACTCCGGTGTGGAGGACCTACAGGAGCTACAGGAGATGTACGGTACCCTCAAACCACGTCCTCCGCCACGGATGGAGAAGAAGTGGGAGTCGGTTGGGCTTTCCTACTCAGGTAAATAAAATTATCTAAGGTTTTCGTTTTTTTTATACGATAATGTGCTTATGTATATTTGTGAAGATTTATTTTCTTTCCAATCACATATTTTCAATTCAAACATATCTTTACCAATGCAGGACTAGTCCACTCTACGTCCCTCCCACCCTATTCCACTGAAGAGCAGTAGCACAGACGTGGCTGATGTTCTCATTGATACTACGCATTATAATTAACAGGTAGGAGTTTTTTTTCATACAAACATTGGGTAGTGAGCCACGAAAAACCATGGTTTCACTGCAATCCTTTTACAAGGAGTTAGGGTAGATGATTGTAAAGATGTTATTTGAAATAATGACATTTTACGATGTTAGCGATACTCACCAGGTGATGTGATGTGATAATAATGAGTTATATCAAATGTAATCCTGAATATATTAATATAATTACTAGCAGACTTGCTATCTTTGACATTGTAATGTATTTAAACATATATTTTCTAGGTCACCGCTATTGATGATACTCCTGCGACATGGGCCCATGATGAGAAAACATCGCCTGCCTATACGCGTACTGTAAATGTGTGATACTAACACGTGTTAACATGTTGGAAGGTAAAAGAATTGGTATAAACTTTTAACTATTAGGGTAGCCTAACGCTAGGAGAGGAATATCTCAATTCGAAAGGCCGGTCGTTATCGATATTGATGTTTTTGTTGAATTTTAGCTATAGATTATAGTTAGGGAATTAGATGTAGATTTATTATGTAAGGGACTTTTGGTGTACATGTGCATGGCCATTTGTAAAATGTAACGGTCATCTGTATCAAAAGAACACACTATACCGATGTACGATATACTCGTTTACGCATATTTATCAATACATCTTGTGGGAGTATTACGTACAAGTGTTTAACTTGATGAAAATATTAGAGATAGCTATGTGCTAACGATTTTTCTGACGTAACATGCAATGAGTGACTTATGTGCTCACTGGCTGATTACTCATTTTACAGCGTATTCAGATATATGTGCGGGACTGGTAGATTTCACAAATGAGATGTTCTTCAGGCCAATCATTGTATGTTATTTATATGTAAAAGAAATAAAACTAACTTGAGTGATCGCTGTGTACCTTTTTGACCCCTGACAAAAATTTTCATTATTCTTTATTCAATACGATAACAGTTTCTATAATTGATATTATGTAACAATAAAAAGTCCATGCAGAAAGTTGTTGTTTAAAGCTCTAGCGTATTGAGAAAAGATCAATTGGATAGTACTGTTTGGAATAGTAAAAAAAAATTAATGTCTTGGTCTAAGATCCTAATTAATACAGTTATCGGTGGACCGCAAAAAATCGCAGACCTTTCAACTCCATAAAACATACCACTAATTCAGCGTTATTTGTCGACGCTAAAAGTCCCTTTTTTGTTTCAATTCAGTTTGATCCACAGCAATAAAAGGTGTATATATGGGTTGGATACAGATCAGTAATAATTGACAAGAGTTATCACTACAATAACCCGCTTTAGCCATGCTGCAGTACAAGATGCGATCGCAAGTGCCCCCACTGACAGTAATGTTCAAATATCGACAACTAACCGTAAATGCAACAATATAATATTAAAAAACCCAACTTAATTGTTAATAAAAACAATTCCTGTCCTTCTTTTGCTGTCATCTACCAAAATGATTGAATAAAAAAGACGCACGCCCATTTTTCTCACGTCCTTTTTTCTGACCTTTATCGGTCCTATTGCTGCCAGCTTTGTTTTCTTTTGCATCGTGTGCGTTTGTGAGTTACCGTACGGCGGGTCTTGGCGGAAATACTCTTCTAATCGTTTGCGGTGAGTGTTTTTTTTATTTGTTTCCTTTGACAGTCAGGGCGGAGGCCCCTCCCCCCCAGAATACAAACATCCTTATCTTGGGTCATTCCTTTGTTGCCCGCCTGCACTCGTTCCTGCAACGGCGCACGGTCACAGCCTCTGGCAGGGAGATAGATCAGAGTTTCTGGTGTGATAACTGTAGTTTCACCTTCCGTTTTGTTCCCGGGTGTACTGTACGATCTTTTGACTACAGTTCTTATTTGTGGGATGAACTACCCCGGGTTGACATTGTATACCTAGAGTTAGGTTGTAACGACTTGTGCAACACAGCCCTGTCACCGGAGGAAGTCGCATACCAGCTAACTGATCTGGCCTTAGCTTTGAAGAATAAAACAGAGGCCCGTCAGACCACAGTTGGCCTACCCTTGAAACGTGTTTTTGACCCGCCAGGTATCCCTTACAATGACCGGTGTGAGCGCTGTGTGTACAGCATGATCGACATGATTTCCAGAAGTCAAAACCCTGGCTTCACATGGTGGAGCCACAACCGCATTTTGGACCGCTACCTTCCCTCCCTTTTCCAACAGGACGGCTTACACTTCTCAGATTATGGAAATTTCTTATATTTCAAGAGTATTCGAGGAGCCATCCTGAAGGCTTTGGATTCAATTTAAAGAATAATTTAACAGACTGCCCTTCCCAAATTTGTCTTGTTTTGGTTTTCAAACTGACTGCACCTCCCTTTGCACCTTCGGTGGGTTACCGTGGTGCCAGGGGGGGATGCCTGAAATTCTGTTATCTATATGATAGATCCTTTTAGAAATCATCCCATGGATTGATTTTTCCGTGTAAAGGCGTGTACGTTGGTACCCAAATTTGTTTTTGATTCTGCTTTCGAAATCGACTACATCTCCCCTTGCACCTTCGGTGGGATACCGTGGTGCTGGGAGCAGATGCCTGACATACTAATTTTTGTCACAGACCCTCCTGGAAATTTTCCCCGAACTTATCTTTACATCGCAAAACTTTTTCGTGGGCACTTTGGCGGGCTGCCATGGTGCCATCCTGAAAAAGAAAAAAATAACTAATTCCCAGTCAAAATTATGTAGCGGATCCAATCGTGGTGTCCATTACACTTTCGGCGGGTTGCCGTGGTGCTTAGGGCAAATGCGTAAAAAACTTCCGTAAGCCATTTTATGAATTCCCAATTTTTCTACCGGGAATTGTTCTCTGGCATGAGCCTGAGACTCAGTCATAAATTTTATGCTGTGGACTATGTTTTCCCGGCTTTTTATTATGTTACCCGTGCCTGGCTCTGGAGGGCAGCCTCCAAAACCAATGGCACTTGTCATAAATTTTTAGTGCTGTGGATTCCCGTTATGAGAATCCCGGCTTTTTCCTGATTTTATTCATAGTGCCTGGCTTTTGAGCCAACGACACTTGTCATAAATTTTTTGCGCCGTGGTTTGTATATAAACTTAAACTACCCGGCTTGCTGTCCCCTGTTCTTCATGTCAGGGTTACTGTTACGGTTTTGTTGCCATGATGAGACAAATAGCTCAGATGCCCCTCGGCGCATACATTCCTTTGTTAGTTGCTTTTTGTTCCAGCCTTGTTTCATTTTCATATTTTAGTATACTCTCCAGCGCCCAACAAATAATTGTGCAAATCCCGATCACAATCCTGAAAGTGTATCTTGGCTTGTATTACTCCAATGTTACATTGATCAGTGGGCCTCTCGGGGGTGTCCGTGTCGCAATTTTGCTCCCCTGCCGGCGAGCTTTCTCGCTACGCTCCCTTGGTGGTCTTAGTTCAGAGTTTGGATTCTAAGGAAAAATTCCCGTTGTTGTAATCGACTCAGGATTTCCGCAATTACTTTCTCTCAAAGTTGTGTTGAAAGAATTACCAGGTTTATTGTATTCTTGAGATCTTCGAGCGTGTTGCAAGATGACTGTTGCCTGTGTTTCATGTTTGTGTCAATGAAATTCCTAGTATTTCCGCCAAACCCGCCATTTGTTGGTTGATACTGTGTCCATTAGCTATGGTCCTAGGAGGTAGGCATAAAATCACTTTCGCATGCGAAAACTATTTTCATATTTTTGGCACATAAGAGAAACCGTCAGCAATCGCTATTTTCTGGTAATAAGGTGACAGGTTATCGATGATTTCATGCATCTAAACAACATAAATTGCCTGCCATTGTCAGAATAACAAATGCTTTCTCAGATACATAGGCAGCCTTCTGCAAGTTCATGATCTCATTGTCCCTGGAGGTTGTGCACCGGATCTTTACTAACTGACTTAGGCCATGCATTATGGATGATATAATATAGTGTTATAGTGTTTTTGTCAGTCGCAGCATCTAGACCGATCTGGGCGTCGACGCTCCATTTTGCCACCAAGCTGCTGAGCGTAAAAATAGACAAGATGTTTAGTTATTTGAACGTCTGTCTGTTTTCTCTAGCCGGACTATTCACCCTTCTTCATCAAGGTAGGTGCTGCTAATCAATATTTTCATTACAGCTAAGGACAACTGCTGCATGATACTGTCTGTTCAGGATATCGGTGAGGGAGGGTGACGTGCCGTCGGAATCTAGTCTCTATTCCCTTAGTTTAGGTAATTGCTTCGTAACATATCTCCATGAAAATTCAGCCAAACGTATTTTGATTTCTAAAGACCTACTGTGTTTTAATTACGCTGCCCTATCGCTTTTAAGCGCATTGCATTATTATGATACCAAAACTGGTCGGGGACTGTAGAGGGCAGCCTTATCGGCCTCAACGTTATCGTGAAATAACGTTCTTGCTGATTTCAGCATGCATTTCGTACGATGAAAGATAATTATCTTATAATAACATGATCATTGTAAATAGTCAATTGTTATAGTGCACTAGACACATAACGTTGGCCGTGTTACCACCATTCTTTAAAGTATGCAATGGTAATATCAAGATAGTATATCATGCAATAAGTGTCAATCAAAGTCATTATTCTTTATCATATTATTATTAACTTAACTCGTTTATTTTAAAAAATGTATTTTCATGGTATGTCAGCCACACGAAAATATGTAAAATATTTCTTCCATACACACATTATTGTATACCGGAGACACTCTGAACTCAAGAATAATGTATGCTGCATTTATATTAAGCAGACATAGTATTAATATAAGTACACACAACTTATGGTCAAATCAATAGTGGGAGAACTGGCGCACAAATGATACAATTTCTGTCCTAAAACGTACATGTCAGCAATAGTAATTCACCTACCTTTTTGTACCACATTATAAAAGTAAGTGCAGTCTTACATGCAAACTTAGCCATTGGCCATGATACAATTAGGACGAAAACTGGCGTGACGGTAACATGGAACAGGTCACTGAGCACGAAAGAGACCGGTTTAGCATGAATGTTACTAAGAGCTATTACGGGACCTCTGTTATCACCCGTATTACAGGCCGATCCGTTTTAAGATATACAGCAACACTCTACGATCATCGTCATTGAGTTGGCACCTTATAACAATATATCAGCTCATCTACGAGGATTGCAGGGCTGCAATTGACCTCACTATTAATGTAATAAAAAAAGGAATCTCAATAACGCCATCAGTATTCCTTTTGGGTGTTAAGATGTTGAAACACAACGTTTTACCGGAACAGCTTATACTAAGAATTACAAAATTTAAATGTATTTTATACATTACTAAAATATAGTTTTCATTAACAGCACGTACATAATGGATTATTGTTTGAGTCAGGCATTTTTATCATCACAAACGATTAAAACATTTCTATCAGACCACTCACACAAAAACACACGCAAAAACACACGCACACGCATCGTAAGAAGAATCAGCTGTTTTGCCATAATGCTACAAGCTGATAAACCTCTTAATTCGTCCGATCTAAATACACGGCGGTCAATTTCTAGGGTAAAGTTTCCAATTCTATGGAGGGTATCAGGTTACCGGGGTTCCACGCGCGGCTTTCGTGGAGCCGGTCTCAGCGGTAAACATTCTTTTCATCAATAATAAACAGTTTCACGGGGACTCTCTTGTCCAAATGTGATAAAATCAGCACTGCATATAGCTCAAATGTTAGTGTTTTTATTACAATGCTTAAATGTGCGTGAAATCACTCTCAACGCGTCGAATGCTTATTCTAGAACAATCGACGTCAATAACCAAACAACTGATTTAAACCGACCCCAAATCTCTCCGAAAATTCCACATTTTTGTATTTTAGAGAACAGTATAGCAAAATTAAGATTTGAGTCGGACAGTTTTCTTTATTTCAAAGTTAAAGTGTTGCTAAGGTAGAAAAAGTCGCCAAAAAATGCACTTTTTCAACTTCCAAGACGGATAATTCCAGAACGCCGCCATCTTTAAAAAATCCGTCCGACACAGATCGAGATTTTTGTCTTACCTACAATTTAAAATGTTTTTGAGGTAAATTGAATTTGTTTTTCTTGCGGTTTAAATACCCTGTTTGCACGCATGTCAGGTCGTGTGAGTAAGTGCAGGGGGTAACTTATATCCCCGTAAACAACAATTACGATCTTCAAGGTCGCACACGATGACGGCAGTAGCTTCGTTACATGTTACATATCCACTATAAAACAGGTCATAGATATACTGTCCCGAAATTGGTTTATATTTGTGAAAAGGTGGATTTTTTACTGTTAGGCGGTAGCCGTGTAAAAACGGGCTTGAAGCCGCGAGTTTACTGTACATGACCGTGGGTGACCCCGGATCGAACGGACGTTCGGTTCGATTGACGTCATATCGAACATGATTCGATTCGAATGACGTCATATCGAACATGATTCTGTTCGATGAAAAGGTTGGAATATTTGAGCCCAAATTTGACCATCGTGATATATGGACAGGGATATGAGTTGGTATCTTAACTTAGAGACGTATTTTTATCTTACTAAATATAGACTGGCATCGCTGTCTAATGAGGGGAGGTATTGGTCTGTTTAAATGTTCAATTTTTCAGGGTCTTACAAAGTTCTCGGAATCTCTCTCATTTGGGTATGCATTAAAGCGTATCAAACCACATGTTACTCTATGTATGCAGAAATTTCGTTATGTAATCTCTGAGGACCAGATTTAAACTACAGAAACCATGGCCCAAAAGCATCATCAATCAAGCACATTGTAACTGTGGAACCTGTTGAACCAATGCGAGTATTACATCTAAGAAGCAAACAGATTTATAAAGTATTAAAATGAATAAGGTCATTAACCCTACCTAGACCGGGCTTTTTTGACAGTGGGGGGACCGGGGGGGGG